GTACGTATGTACGTAGGAAGGCGTGTGTGTGGTATATATATATATATATATATATATATGTTATATATATATATATATGTGTGTGTATTTAATATGTATCTGTGTATATTTGCTGCTATGTATGTATGTATGTAGGTAGGTACGTAAGTAAGTATGTATCTGTGTTTTATGTATGTATGTATGTATGTATGTACATATATATATATATATATATATATATATATGTATATATATATGTGTGCGTGCGTATGTATATATATATATTTATGTATGTATGTAGGGATGTATTTATTTATTGGTACGTACGTATATATTTAGCTGTAGGTATGTATGCATGTATGTTTGCATTTATGTACGTAAGTGTGTTGTGCGTGCCTGTTTGTGTTTTTCGTGCGTGTGTGTGCGTGTTTGTGTGTTTGTATATATATATATATATATATATATGTATATGTATGTATATATATGTGTTTGTGTGCGTGTTTTGTGTGTGTATATGTGTATGTGTGCGCGCGTGTGTGTCTGCAACATGTATTGTTCTACATCTAACGATGAGTACTTTAGGACTCTGTGTATGAGCAATGAGTGTTTAGATTTATGAGGGTTTAGTTTTGTATTGTAATATCAGTGTTGTGTGTTATGTGCTTTATTTGATGCATGCCAGTTATTGGTGCACATATACCAATAGAGCGTGAACCTAAACTGAGTAATGCCGTTAGTTCTGCAGTAGTGTATAATAGGAGATGGATAGATATTATGTGCCTGTATTTAGAAAAGACTGATGGCAGACATGGACAGAATTACTGACTATGGCTATTAAGACGTTAAGATTATGATATGATCAGTCTTCATACTCTTGTAAGCTATTACACTACTTTGATCTGTATAAGTTCTACAGCTATCTCATTATAAACCGTTCGTCAACTAAATATGTTAGTCACAATATATAAAGTAGTTAGTCAAACTGAACAATGCTTAAACTTGAGCGGTCGTCCATTTAACGTCGCTAGATTATCCTGTTGTTACTACGAAGGATAGATATATACACATGTGAAACTACGCAAAACGTTACTCTTCTTACGACTTCCTGGAATCGTTCCAGCGAGTGTCTTCAGTAAAGACAGTATCGCTTTATACTTTAACATGTGGGATGTGTAATGACGATTTAATTGTGAAACCTACTGCTGACTCTGTATTTTTCTCTTTTTTTGGTATTTTTTTAATGCGCAGCTTAGCAACAGAAAATGAGTTAGTTGAGTCTATCGAACTTCCTTTTCAGTCATCAGAGGGCAGGGAAATTATGGGGCTAGCAATTGGTCAGTTTCTTTTGGTCTGAGTGCGCTGCTCGCGCATTACTTGATAGCGAGTGTGCGGTTGGTTCAAATAGTTTTGGTCAGTCGTTTTTCATTAATGATATTAAGCTCGGCGTCTGACTTTGTCTTATGTACGTCTTGCCACATTTGTCGTAGAAATTGTACTTTTCAGTCGCTATCAGAAACTCATTGGCGATTATCATATTGCAGGAAATCCCAATGCGCCGATGGCAGTCTATATCAATGTGGGTATTCACGCGCGAGAATGGATCGGGCCGGCTTCTGTGATGTTTGCTATCGATCAGCTCTTACTGGACGTGATTGAAACACCGAGTTTATTTCAGAAAACACGCATGTACATAACACCTGTCTCAAATCCCGACGGATATGAATACACCTGGACTGCGACTTCCACGAACCCATCTCCACGCATGTGGCGAAAAAATCGACGTAAGTCATCAGAAAAGTTCGTCGAAGTACGTTTCTTAACTCTGCTCAATGATGTGCTAGTGTTGACCTTATTTAAGTCTGTCGAA